TGTTTTTTTCTCTTTCTTTCCTGTTTCTGTCTGTGCCCTTTGATTTCCCTTTTTGAGTTTTGCTTTTCTTTATGTTTTTTCCTTTATTTTTTTTCCATTTCCATTTTTATTTTTTCCTATTTTGTTTTCTTTCTTCCATTTTCTTCGCTTGTTGTTCTATTGTTTTGTTTATCTCCTTTAGTGTCTCTGCTGCTTTTTTTTTTTATTTCTTCCAGGCTTTTAGTCCATCGTTTTGGTACTACCTCTTGTAATATCCATGCCCAATTGATGGATAATTTCTTTTCTTGTATTAGGTCTCCAATTTCTTTTTTTCTCTTTTCTCTCCTATCTGTTGTTGTTTCTTTATTGATATACTGCTCCATTATTTCTTTAATTCTTTTCTTTAGTTCTATTATCTGTGGTTTTACCATTCTGCACTCCCATACATGTGTTTGGTCTTCCTTTTTTCCTCGCATCTTATACATTTCTTATATTTAGTATATCTCTTGTTATCTCTTGTTTTCTTTTTTTTTCAGTGTTGACAATTCACTGTTAAACTTTTTTTTCAGCCACCTGTTGCCATCTTTCTTTCTCTCTATGCTTCTTTGTATCGTTCCTACATCACTTTCTAATCGATTTGCTGTCTAGTTATGTCATTTTGTATTTGCTTGTTTCTTTCAAGTTTTATCCATGCTAGAAAGTTTTTAATTTTGTTATCAATTTTCCATATTCTCTTCCACCTATCATTTTGTGTTCTCTCACCTTATGTCATTTTCGTGTTTTTACTGGTAATCTATTTTTTATTTTCTATCACTACCCTTTTTTGTTGTTTTTTTGTTTCCTTATTCACCTCTTTAAATGTTTGGTCTTGATTACACTCGTTTATCTATTCTGCTTTTAGATTCACCTTTTCTTTTTCCTTTACTGTCGCACCTAAACTTGCTAATACTGCTTCTTCTTTGTTTTGTCTTTATAGTTCTCTTTTGGTTCTTTTATTTCCATTTATATACTGTTCTGCCAGTTTTAGATCTGTTATTATTTTGATCTCTCCTTCTTCTTTGATTTTACTTATACTTGCTATTATTGTTTTCAATTCTACCTATGTTGTGCTTTATGTTATGTTTTCTTATACTCCACTTTTTATTTCTTTGCCATCTTCCATACCCCTGTTTTTATCTTTGTCTTTTTGTTCTATGCTGCATCTGTATATATTTTCTTGTCAGAAATCTCCTTTATTCTTTTTCTTTTCTTTTTGTTTTCATGTACTGCTTTCATTCTCAAATCTTCCTGTGGTTTTTGTATTCTCTTCTTGATATATAGAATCTTACCATTCTTCTTCATCTTGACTTTCTTTACTGCTGGCCACCATGTTTCTGCTATTTTCTTGTTAAATTGGCACCCCTTCTCTTTGTTGAATTCGTTTAGGTCACATACTTTGCACTCTTTTAGTTCTTGAGTCTCCTTGTGTTTTTCATAATACAATATTCTTGCTAGCTCAGTATCGATTTTCTTCTTTTTTCTCCCTACTATTACTTCCTCTTTCTATCCAAATGCAATCTATTTTATTCTCTTCATATCTGTTGCTTTGTTTACCCTAGGCATCGCTATATGCTTCCATTCGCTTTTTTGATTCATTTTTTTTGTTATTTTGTTATAAATTCTACTCCAGTTTTTCTTCATTATGTTGTACCATTTGGATTTCTTACTTTTATTGCTGTTTCCTGGGTTGATTCTTTCCCAATCCATTAGCTCTATATAATTATCCCTTATTATGGCTCCAAGTAAATCACTTTTTATTTTTTCATGTTTCACTTTTTTTGTTTGTAGGTTTGTTTATCCAGCATATCCTCTATTGTGATTGCTCCTCTCCTTCTTTCTGTTATTTTTTCCCATCTCTCTGTTTCTATTTTAAAACTTTGCTTCTGGTTCTCATATATCATGTCTGTGATTATACTCTTTTTTCTTTTTTTATGCAGTTCTTTGCTATTTTGTGCTACTTTTTTTGTTGACTATGCTTTCTCTTGCAGTTGCACAAGTCTGATTTCTCTTATGCTCCCAAGTATCCCTTTATCTTCTAAAATTGCTTCCAAACAACTTAATCTTGTTAGAGCTAATCTTTCTTTGATACCCTTAATGTTACTTAGTGTTTGGCTTCTCAATGCACTGCTTGGAAAACTGCTCGCAAGATTATTTTTTTGTTTGTACATTCTATTATACTGTACTTCTCTGCCATTTTGCTGTTGTGCTTTCCTTAATATGTATGTCTGCTGCTAGGTATTCTATTGCCGGAAGGATAACTCCATTTATTAGGTATTTGACTATCTCCACTGATATCTTTCTCCTCCTTATTGTATTGAAATTGTGTATTACTATTTGGCTTATTTTCTTTAATTGTATAGCTTTTCCAGGCTTTTCTTGTATCCGAGACTCCAGGAATCTTTCTGTTTTGGCTTCTTCGCTTGCTGAGACTTCCTTGCCCATTAATTTTATGCTTTTGTTTCTTTTCTTTTTGTTCAGTACTATTAGCTTGGATTTTTCTGTATTAACTTCTATGTCATTTATATAATAGAACTCTTCTACTAGCTTCAGTATACTTTTCATCTCTTTTTTCCCCTTTGCTATCCATGTCGTATCATCCATATAGACTATGCTTTTCATTATAACTTCTTTTTTTATTGTTTCTCCTGTGGCAAAGTTTCTAATTCATTCATTGCTCATTTTGTATCCCTGCTTTGTCTTGTTTATTTTGCTAATCAGTGGATCATAGAATATTTTTCATAGCAAGGGTGACATAGGATCTCCTCAGTCCAAACCATCCTTTATTTCATATTTTTGTGTTGTTCCATACTTTGTAATTATGTCTGCTGTTCTGTTTGCTCACATTTCCAAGATTATTTTTATCAGTTCCTGTGGGATGCCTATTCTTTTTAGAGTTATTTCTAAAGCTTTTTTTTTTACTGAATCAAATCTTTCTTTGTGTCTTGCAGTAGGATTCGTATTTTGTAGAATTATTCTTGGCTTACTTGTTGTTCCACCTGAGGTTCCTGCTCAATTATTCTCTTGTAGGATTTTCTCTATTGTTAACACTTCATCTATTATTTTCGTGATTATCTTGGAAAAGATTATTCTTCCTGTTTCTATTAGTGCTATTGGCCTTAGTTTGTCCATTTGCCGGAATTTGATAGAATTGTGCATGTTTCCACTCTTTTGATGTTTCTTCTTTTTCTAAGATACTGTTAAGCAGATCCTTCAGTTTGTTTCACTCTTTCTCCCCACAGTTCTTTAGCATTTTATATGATATTTCTGATACCTCTGATGCTTTTCCATTTACTGCTCCTCTTATTGCCTCCTCCAGTTCTTCTTTTGATATTGGTTTCATCGGTTTTGTCTTCTCTTTATCTCCTAATTTAACTATTGGATTTTTGTATTCCTCCAGCCAATTTCTCCAATAGTCCTCTAGATTCCACTTTTTGGTTCTATTTTGCTAGTTGAAGTGCTCCCATGTTAGTTCTTTAACTTTTTCTTCTTCTAGTTTCATATGTCCTATAACTTGGTCCCAAACCCTATCAATTTGCTCCTTTGCTGTGTCACATGCCAAGATACTTGAGATTAGGTTCTTCTGTTTTTTATTTTCTTGCCATTTCTCTGCTCTTCTTTTTATTTCTTCTAGAATCCATTGCTTTCTGAGGGATCTGGCTTTACTCTCACACAATTTCCTCAAGTCTCTTTGCTTTTGTTCTGTCTCTATTCTTCATTCTCTAACTTTCTCCATTACACTCAAATATCTAAAGTTTATTTTTGTTTCTGGCACTCTTATATATCTGTTGATCTGGTTTTTTTTCCATTATTTCTTCTTTGTTTCCGGTATTACCCTTTTCTTCCATTTCTCTTGCAATCTTTATGACCTTGTTTAGTTTCCTGAAAGCTGTAAATTGTGCTATTTTTATCCTTTTATTGAACTCTTGCACCTCTGTTCTGAGGGTCTTTTTCGGGATGCATTTCTCTGCTGCTTCCTTCCAACATTCTTTTAGTTCTTCCTATCTGTTACTCAGTTCTTCTATTTCCCTTTCCCCTTTGTTATTTTCTAGTTGCTCTTTATTTCTGCATGCTGCTCTCACATGTTTGATTTTTTTTCTTCATTTCTTCTATTTCCATTTGTTCATCTGTTTGTAATTGTAAACTTTCTTTTCACTTGTTGTTCTGAACCTTTTGATCCCTTTTGTGATTGTATACAAGTCTATTTCTATGTCCACTGCCTTGTGATCTGTATTCAAACATTATTTGATATCTGATATGGATGAGGCCTTGCATAGTTCTCTCATGTCTTCCAAAAGCCATATCATATCTATTCTGCTTTTTGATTCTTTGTCCCATGTGTAATCACTTGTATTCTTGTTATATTGTTTGAAAGTGTCATATAGATCAAATTTCCTAAGCATTTCAATCTATTTCTTCTTTTTTTTTTATTCGTTTCCTCCTGTTCTGTCCACATTGTCCTTTGTTGTCATATTCATATCTCCCATTATTATTATTACCATTACTTGTTTTTTCCTCTATTTATTTATGATTTTTCTAATTTCTGCTATTGTCACTTTTCTCTCCTGACCTAATTGTAGTGATATATATACCTATATCACTCCTATTTTTCGCCTTTCTTTAAAGATCAGTTCCATGGCTAAGATTCTTTCTTGCCATTTTGTTATTTTCCCTATGTGTTTGGCCCAGTCTCTTTGAACAATTAATTCCACTCCTCCAGATTGTTTTTCCATGTTTGCCCAATAAGTCTTGTATTTTTTGTCTTCCATTGTTTTCTTATTAGTTGTTGTTTTTAATATTGTATCGGATATCCCTATTATATTTATATTTTTTTTGTGATAGTAATGTTGTAATTGCTGTTTCTTAAACTCTTCATTCACACCATTCATGTTTATTGTCATAATTTTAATGTTCTATGTCAGTTATTTTTTTTTTGTACATGTTCATATTTCTTGGGTTATTATATTTATCCTTATGGTGTGCTGTTATATTTGTTTGGATTTGTTATTAGGTATCATGTTTCCTACTGCCTTTCGTGTTGTTATCTCTTCTTGCTAGATAATAGCCAACCATTTTCCAAAAGTTTGTTTAGCATCTTTCCCATCTGTTCTATTTGCCTTTCTAGCTTGTCTTGTCTTTCTGCCGCCTCTTTGTGGATTGCCTTGTATATTGTCAAAGGGGTTTCTTCCTCTTCCATGGCCACTTCTTCCACATCTTGATATTGCATTTGTTGCTCATCTGGACTCTTATTATTGGTTTGTTGATTCTTCTGCTTTTCCTGCAGCTTATTTTATCAATTCTATAGTACATTAATTTTTGTTTCCATGTTTTTAATTATTTCTTCTAACTTGTCCAGTCTTTCTCTTATCTCTTCTTGTTCTCCTCTTCTCTCTTTGTTATAAACTAATCTCGATCTGCTTCTCTTTCTCAGAATTTCTGCATAGGATATAAGAGCTTCCTTTTCTAGTTCTTTCTTGAACCTTGACTGGATTGATGCAAATCTTGCTTGAGCTAGTGCTTTGTCTCTTTGTACTCTTACCTTCTCATACTGGAAGGCGATGTGCCTACTCTGTCCACACTTGTAACACAGTTTTTCAAATTGATCTTCAAAATTAATCATCTTCCTATCCAATTTAAAGGTTTGGGTTTTGGTTGCTTTTAATTGATCCTCTGTTTCAAACGCCACATATGCAAATCTTTCTCTAAAGTATCTGCCTGTTCTTGGAATATATAGGATTTTTCAATTTGTTTCTCTTGCTATCTCTTCTAGATCGTAAGCTGTAGTGCCTGCTGGCAAACCTGCCAATTTCAGCATGTATTTTGATCTTCTTTCCAGTTCCTCTTTCTCTTCCCATTTTGGGAGAATTCTCAGGTATTCTTTTTCAAATAGAATTGACCACATTTCGACCAATAGTTGGGCATCCTTCTCTTTCTTATAAGTTACTATCGCTGTCTGCCACATTTCCACTGACCAGATATCCATGGTATGGATGTCTTCAAATTTTTTCAAAGTTGTCCTGATTGCTTCTTCACTTGCTGAGAGTGGAATATTCCTAACAATTACTCTGTTTCTTTCTTCTGATTGGTGTTGTTTCAGTTCTGTAGGGCTAGGTACTTCCTGCTATCATCCATACCAAGTTGATTTCACATGCCTCTTGCATGTCAATAAGGTTTTCAAAATTAGCAGTGATCTTTTTTTTTCTTGTAGTTCCTCTTTCTACTCTTACCCCAAGAAAGATTCGAAAGCAATGCATGCTTCTTCCACAGTATCTGCTCTTTCTGCTGATTTCCTATCTGCTGGATGTTTCAGTTCGCATGTATATCTTGGTTTCTTTATCACTTCTTTTGACCTGCCTTCCTCTCTTTGGTCTTCTTTTGCCTTTCCTTTATACTCTCACATTTCTTTTTCTCTAATGTCTGTTCCTGTTGTCACTGTTTCCTCTTCGTTTGGTTTCAGCTGATTCTCTTCTTGCATTTCTGTGTCTTGCTCTTGCTCTTCTATCTCTTCCCCTCCACTTACTTCTACTTCTTTTTCTCCCAGATCCATGCTTGCTGCTCACACCTGCGTTCTCTTTAATTTCCCCTTGTTCAGACTTTTGGGTCTGCCTGATTCTTTTTTTATAAAGGTGGTTGCTTTGACTCTGGCTTCTCTAGTGGCGGTTATTGTTTTTCTTTCTGTGCCTCTTCCCCTTCCTGCACTTGATGTTAATGCTTGGCTGACACCTATTTTCCCTTCGCTTTCTTGCTAAAATTTTCTAAAAAGGCAATTTTTTTAAATTTTCCTGTATGTGGAAAAAAGTTTTTTTTTTAATTTGTAATATAAATAATATTTTGGCATAGAAGTTCCTATGTGAACTTAGCATATTGGTATAAGGACTAGTATCTCTGTAAGGAGGTTGCGAGTTCAATATCGGGTGACAGCAGTATATGCCTGTTGGACCAATTCACAAGGGTCGTGGTAAGCATCAGTTGCCTGACTACCATGATACTGGCATCTATAAGGGCCAGTATAAAATATAGACAAGAAACTCGTTAGATAGTCCCTGACCAGTGACAACCTGGATTCAGATCTATTATAAAAACACGAGGAACTGTCTCCCATAGGAGGCCCAGGGTGTTGAGAAAAATTATGGGATCGAATCTCATAGTAGTACTGACATCTTAGAAGTGAACTGATATGATCATTCTGGTAAGTATTAGTTGCCTAACTACTAGGCATATCAGAGATGGCCATAAAAATACTTAGTGGTAAAACAATTCCGCAGCTTTTTTTATAGGAAGAAAGTAACTCACTCATTATAAAAAAAAACTGTAGTGATGAACTGCAGGCAATGATCTTTGGAATTGAACTTCATAAGTGAGTAAATGACAAAGAGAGCAACTTTATTTCACGCCTAGAGATGTTAGTCAAAGATGGGTGTTCAAGGCAGTAGAATAGTTTATGCAATACAATGTATTATACATTATTTGTTTTCTATAAAGATTTAATAAACAGTATGCACTTGTTTGACTATGGGAAAAAAATATATTTTGGCATAGGTAAATATGGTACAGGTGTGAGTGCAATATTGCAAATGGCAAGAAAATTTAAGTGGGAATTTTTAAAATAATAGAGTAGCAAAAAGATGTATAAATGTATGTGTAATTCAATAGCACGTAAAAGATTTAATTAACATTTATGTTCTAATAATAAATAATCATTAAAGTTAAATAAACTCTTATATTTTTTCACATGTGCACTAAATATTTGTAACTCATTTACATGATTAAGCGAAAGAACTGAACTTTCTTAAGAAAATTGGATGCTAAAATAGTTAATAGAAAATTATAAACTATCCAGACTCAAAAATACCTTGAGAGTAATGAAGCTTTAAATTATTTACCTTTAATCATACATAATACAAAGAATGCCCTGATTTGTGACTGATTACTGATTATACCCACAATGCTATAAAAAAAATAAGTGTAACAGGGGTTTGTAATTGAAGCTCAAAATACACTAAAGCTAGTATCACAAAAAGAGATGATAGTTTATTTGAGGCTAAAACCCATTGCTCCTATTAAAAAGTTTCGATGATTATTTTTTATTAGTTAATCTCAAATAAACTATCACCATCTCTTAGTTCAACTAATAATAGATAACAAACTTCTATCACTTGCCCGTGAGGCAGTTGCACAAGAAAGGTTCATAACAGATCACTCATGTGGGACCTGTAGACCTTGTTATCCATATTATAGACTAATCTCAACTGAAACATAACATAATGAATAAATAACACTTATCTATTTCTGTAATGGCGAGGAAGATATTGGTTCAGTAAAATATTAGGAAAAAGAGTTCTCTTGTGATAGGATCAGTAAGGATTTTCTTGCAGCAGAAAAGATTTTAGGTTAGAAAAGAGACCTTTTTTACAGTAGGAAGATTTCTCATGGCAGAAATATTTCAATTCAGTAGAAAGCTTTTCTTATGGTGAAAATAATTTCAGTTTAGAAAGAGACTTTGCAATAGAAAAGAGCAGAAATATCAGTTATATATAATAAAAATGCATAATATACAAGTCACAAATTTTTTTAATCAGTAAAATAAAAACCATGCGTTACACAAGTGTGACAGACAGAATTTACATGTGACCTTTATTTTCATTAAGAATTGTAAACATAGAATATCCTTCGCTTTGCTTCAGACAATCATATGCATATATTAGATCTTGGTCTTTTTAAATATATTCTATATTATACAAAAGAAATATTATGGGACAATATGAAAATCAAGTATTTCAAGTCTTTAAAAAGTTATTTTTATTAATTTCTTGATTTCAAGACTTAAAGATAATGAAAAATATATTTGACATAACTCATTTAACTATTGATAAATTATATAATTTTCTTTAAATGTATATTGCATCTAAAA